GTTTTTCCAGTGTGTGTTTTTCCAGTGTGTGTTTTTCCAGTGTGTGTTTTTCCAGTGCGTGTTTTTTCCAGTGCGTGTTTTTCCCGTTGTTTTTCCAGTGTGTGTTTTTCCAGTGTGTGTTTTTCCAGTGTGTGTTTTTCCAGTGCTTGTTTTTCCAGTGTGTGTTTTTGTAGTGTGTGCTTTTCCAGTGTGTGTTTTTGTAGTGCGTGTTTTTCCAGTGTGTGTTTTTGCAGTGTGTGTTTTTCCAGTGTGTGTTTTTCCAGTGCGTGTTTTTCCAGTGCGTGTTTTTCCAGTGTGTGTGTTTTTGCAGTGTGTGTTTTTCCAGTGTGTGTTTTTACAGTGTGTGTTTTTCCAGTGTGTGTTTTTGTAGTGTGTGTTTTTCCAGTGTGTGTTTTTTTAGTGCGTGTTTTTTCCAGTGCGTGTTTTTCCCGTGTGTGTTTTTCCAGTGTTTGTTTTTTCCAGTGTGTGTTTTTTCAGTGCGTGTTTTTACAGTGTGTGTTTTTACAGTGTGTGTTTTTCCAGTGCGTGTTTTTGCCGTGTGTGTTTTTCGAGTGTTTGTTTTTTCCAGTGTGTGTTTTTTCAGTGCGTGTTTTTACAGTGTGTTTTTTTCAGTGCGTGGTTTTACAGTGTGTGTTTTTTCAGTGAAAAACACAGTATCTTGTTATTTCTTAATAAATTGGTATCTTTAACTCATTGACTGTCAGCCGTTTTTGATGATTTAACTTATTTTCAAGACCCACAGAATATTTTGTGCTATGACTATGTGAAATATGAAACCTTTCTGAATGACCGGACCGTCTACTTTCATCAGACACATTTAAATTGGTTTCTAGATAGTTTTGTTCTCCTGTAATCCCCGGTCAAAAAGAGGGAAGTTTGACAGAAATCTCCAGTCTCAGACGAAGACGTCCATAGCGGTCAATGAGTTTAATAACGTGATAGTTTTATATCGATCTATATATCTATGAAATAACATGATATTTATCTTGTTATTTCATGATAAATTGGTATCATGAAACAACATGATTTGATGCGATACAGTAGATTTTTAACATTGATATTGGCTTTTTCTGTAAATAAACTTATTACAGTAATTCAAACTTAGAAATCTAACTCAGATTCAAGGTGCTGAACAAGAAATACAACTTTTTTACAAATTTAACAAAAAAAATTATTTTACCCAAGAGCTAACTTATAAATAACTGACATGAATAAAAAAATAATAAAACAGATGTATAACAATGCAGTGCTTAACAAATGTTTACAGCACCACCTAAGTGCTTAAGATTAAATAATATATTTTTCAATTTTATAGTGGTTAAATAAGAATGAATCTGAAGCTGGATTTGATGGAAATAAGTCCAGACTTAACAAGGACTATTTCGTTATTCCAATAAAAAAATTCTTAATATTAAATGAAAATGATGCTGTTAATTTGAAGTTCTTGATTTAGTGTTACTAAGTTCTTTATGTTGTCATGGTGGTCCAACACTTTTGTTGAGCAGTGAGCACTGTACATCCTGGTGCCTTTAGCTCGTATAGAACTTTGAAAATAGCAGCAACACCTTTTTGGTCTCCGCTCTCGCTCCGCAGTTACTCTTTTTGGAAGCTGTTCCCTCGGGTGACTCTCCTGCTTTGCCAGCGATGCCGTGGCGTCGGTACAGATGCGAAGAGAAGCGTATCGAGAAGACTAGGTCTACAGAGCACATCGTTTTGTCAAGATTGCCCCCTTATTTATTTTTTTTAATTTTTTTTTTACAAAACCCGAAGTATCTCTTGACTGACGAACGCACATTTGGAGGTTTAAAAGCCTCGCTACTACCTCTGCTACCATTATACATGTTGCAAAGACTATGTTTAGATTAATATTCCGACAACAAAGAATATATAATTCCATTGCACGTTGTGACTATGATTTAATGTAAGAACTATATTGAAATTTAAAACAATGTATTGTTGATGTGCGGCTTGGATCGAGGCCAAATAGCTGAGCGCCGATCGATGTAATGGATCGCAGGGGAGACACATCGATAAATCGATTAAACAGATGTATTGTTACACGCCAACTATTTATAGATGCCCTGAGAAAAACATTACAGATCATTTTGTGTAAAATGATTTTAAAGATATTGTTACAAAATTGTTATCGAGAGTTGGGAAAAAAATATCAAGATTTTTTTTTTTCACGTATCGCCTACTCCTACTCCCCATACACACAGTAGGTTTAGCTACAATCTGTTCATGAACATCCACTGTCCCATTCAAATAAATACAAATACAATACAGAGCCAAATGAAACTAATATTTAACTCTTGGGCTGAGAGAGCTGATTGGCTGAGTTTGAGTGGTTCTCTCTAAAAGGCCAAAAGTACATGCATGTGAGAACAACTGTTTTCAATTAAATTACATTTATTTTGTATAGCACTAAATCACAACAAGAGCAGTTATTTTGGAGGACGTTACAATTTTGTCAATTTGCCCACACAGATCAGAGAATCAAACTGTTCAAACACAGGATATGCAATGATAAAAAAACACATCAAGCCATTGGGCCATAAGTACTATTAATACTTATATTAATAGTAATATCCGTAATAGTCTTGGATCATCATCAAACCCTATCCTAAGACCCTCCTACATTGGCAAGGAACGACTCATAAACCCAGTGAAAGGATGAAATCTTGGGGTGCCCCACATTGATTGGACAGGCTAAAGATCCAGGACTTACAGTAGGGCTATAGATCGAGACTGAGGCCGTACGGTGCAGGACTGAAGCCAGCAAATGGTTAGGCAGGTCAGACTTAAAAAATACAATCTTAAGTCTAAAGACAGAGTGCTGTTGCCACACGTCTCCCAGTGAAAGGTAAAGGTGCACTTTATTGATCCCCGTAGGGCAATTCAATCTTCTGCATTTGACCCATCCTGATGCTGCGAAGGCTTACGTCAGGAGCAGTGGTCGCCGTAGCACAGGACCGGAGCTGGAGGATTTAACCTATGAGCGGGTTTTTAGAAGTGTCTCCATGCGCCGCTATACTGACAATCTGTGTTTTTAGACTTGAGGTTTTATTTCTAAGTCTTACAGAGTCTTACCGACCTAACCATATGCTGAATTAAAGAGGACAGTTTAAAGCCTAGAGTTTTGCGAGATGATTTTATTATGTAGTGTTTTTTTGTGGTTTGAAAGTTAGGTCCACCAGCTTTAATAGTCTCACAATGATCTTCATACTGTATTGGCTACATGGTAAAAGTGAACTCACTCACTTACCTTTGTAGTCAAATAAATAATTTCGATACATTTCTATACCTGATTTTTTCCCCCGAAAAAAAACACATGCACGCTCCAAAGGGCCCATAATGCTGGGAAACACTGGGGTGGGGCCACACTGACCTTTCGGCTGCTTCATTACCCAATCAGAAACAAACACGCTTGGCTCCGATGTCTCTGGGCCTGGCTGATGGAGCTGCTGTGGGCTACTGCTGCTGTGCTCTGCTGGGCCCGCGCAGACCTGGGGCTGTTTGCACCGGGACCCCCCCACCCTCCACACAACCACCACCCTCAGACCGCCTCAGTCCGCCCTCACAAACACATCCGCGCTTATATCGACGCGGAAACAATTTACAACCATTATGGGACATTATAGATAGCATCTCCAAAACTTCCCGCTTAATCGGAGGCCAGAACGAACAGGGGCAGAGGGGATCAAAAGAAAACAAAGATGCAGAGGGCCTTGTTTGTTGGGCTGGGGGGAGGTCTGCATGTTTCAGATACAGTTATACAGATTAAGTCTATAAAAAGGTCTAAATAAAACAAGCAGGACTACCAGAACAGGACCACCCAGAAATCTATGAGCGCAGAGTAAGAGGGGGGGACTGTCCTCTGCTATAGCCTTGGGATAGAAACTTGGGGAGAACAGAACATGATAGTAGTAAATGTCTGTTCTATTTTTAAACACAATATTGGTATAGACTTGGTATTTCATCCAGAACCATAGTACAGTATTCATTTGTTTGTGTTTTGGTTGTTTATCCATAGGTTCCCGATGTATTGAATATAGAGTATATACTGTTCAGTGCATGTGTATCTTGGTGGTTTAAAAAAAAAAAAAAAGCAATACAGTGATTATGACATTTCTAATTGTCTGAAAAATATTTAATAAATGTTATAAATCTAAATAATTCATAACTAAAAACCGTTTGATTTCATTATCACTAGTTTTCCTCTGGCCTCTGTCACATCTTTACAAAATTTCAGACAAATAGAAGAGGGGAAAAAAAAGACAACCCTCACTCAGCCAATCAGCTCTCAGCCCAAAACGACCAATAGTGACTCACAGGGCTCTTCTATTGTGGGTTTTCAAAGAAGATGGAGAGAGCTGTTGTGGTGTGATGTTTTCCTTCTGTTGGGACAAACATGTTTTATTTATGTTCAAGGGTTTGGTTCAACTTTTCAAATGCGGTGCTAGAACGAGACGAGTGGCTGATGAGATGTCAAAACACCAAACAGATCAGCCTTTATTCAATTAAAATAGATATTCAGTACAATAATTCAATTAATATCTGTATAAGGACGGATATTTATGTATTTATTTGTACGCATATTAAACTATTAATTCACATTCAGCTAAATGTTCATGTGGTGGAATCAAAATGTGATGCTATGCCTTTTCCTTTTCTGGATAAAAGCAGTTCGTTTCTGTAAATAATTTTATCATTTTTTAACCAAAATAAAGCTATCAATCAATGCACTCAAAGGGGAAACTCTGCAGCTGATAAATTGGGAGCCACAAAGTATATTGGATATTATATTTTGAATGAAAAGTAATCAGTAATTATCTGTGTAATGTCCCTGAGGCATGACGGAGCATGACTGTACAGGGTGCTGCTACAGGGTGGTGGTGGTGGTGGTGGGTGCAGGCCTATAGAGGCTCTGGGACAGGGAGGGGGCTACACCACAGCTCCACAGCTCCACAGCTGTGGAGTGAGTGGCAGTTGAACAGAGCATGTGGCAGCGCACAGCAGCGGGACGCACTGGTGCTACTGCAGCTGCTGAGAACCAGAGTGTCGAGCAGACCTGGACCCCAGCAGAGACCCCTGGGACCCCCGACATGTTCGACAACTCTAACTACCCCTTCAACTGCTTCAACTACGATGGAGAAGGCTACCCCAGCTCCAGCTGCGAGGAGGACAAGAAAATGTGCCGCCCCGCGTACAGGTGCGCGCTCTGCTTTTCTATGTTTTTAAGTTTGATCAACATTGACACATCTGTGATTTGATCTTTGAAATTTAACTGATGTTAAGATTAAAAGATTCTTTGTTTGTCCCACCGTGGGGAAATTTCAGTGTTGCATCACAAGTTACAGAACAGTAGGAAAGAGGAGCACACCTCAAGAGAGATCAACTTTATAAATGTTACATCTTAATGATCCGGGGCATTAAAGGACATTTATGAACATTTCTGGATAGTGGTCATGCTGCTGCTTATGGACCAATGGCTCGGATGTGATTGTAATATTGCATTCTTTTTTAATTATCTGAATCTGTTGTTGAGGAAACAATAACTTTGTAAAGTGTGATTTAGAGGTGATACAAAATGAATTGAATTGTATTGAATTATTGTCATGCCACCATGACTGGCAGTGCACCAGAAAGTTACAACTTTTCTACATAAAAAAAGTCTTTTATATAAATATATTAAAGACCTGGTACTGCATATTCCATTTGAATGCTAAATGTTTGATATTGATACAAATAAATCTTATTTCTATTCAACATATTATTTAATCTAATTTATATTTAATAAAAAAGCATTACTTACATTACAAACTCTGTTTTCATCCAAACATTGTTTTTCAAGCATTAGCTTTTGGTAATGATGAAATAGGCAATGGTTACAGTACCATATTTAAATAATTATGCATTAGAATAATTTATGACAAAAATAAACGTGTGTTGCTGTGTATGTGTGGGGGTGTGTGCGTGCGTGCATCACGTGTGCATGCAATTGTGTGTGTGTGTGTGTGTGTGTGTGTGTGATTGCATGTGTATGTGCATCATGTGAGTCCAGCAACAAAAAAAGAACGTGATCTGTCGCTCTCCCTAAAACTTTCAAATCAGGTCAGAAATCTAGGGGTAATACTGGACTCAGACTTGAATTCTAATAGCCATTCTAATATAAAGCCATATAAAAAACATTGCCAGGATCAAAAACATAGTGTCTAAAGCAGACCTGGAGATTCTTATCCATGCATTTGTCTCCAGTAGGTTAGACTACTGCAATGGCCTGCTCACAGGTCTGTCCAAACAGGCTGTAAAACAGCTGCAGTACATTCAAAATGCAGCAGCTCGAGTCCTGACTAGAACCAGGAAGTACGACCATATTAGTCCAGTTCTCAGGTCTCTGCACTGGCTTCCTGTGGCTCAGAGAATAGACTTTAAAACAGCTCTGCTTGTTACAAGTCTCTCCATGGCCTCGCACCAAAATATATTAGAGGAGCTGAGGAGCACAGGGACTGGACTCCTGTTAGTGCCCAGAGTCAGAACTAAACATGGGTGCAAAAATCTGGTACAATCTTCCTGAAGATGTGAGACAGGCCTTCTTTCTGACAATGTTTAAAACCAGGTTAAAAACAGTTCTGTTTAGCTGTGCATACAACTGAGTGATTTTATATTTGTATCTTTATTTTGAATGTACTGTGATTTCTCCTTCGGGGGATCAATAAAGTATCTATCTATCTATTATTTAGGATTTTAATACCTTGTGTGATTGTTTCAATCTTGTTTTGTTCAGCACTTTGATTTGCCTTGTGTATGCATTGTGCTACACAAATAAACTTTCCTTGCCTTTCCTTGTGTTTATGCGTGTGTGCATGTGTGTGTGTGTGTATGTGTGTGTGCTAGTTACATAGCTCTGATCGCCATGGCGATCCAGCAGAGCCCGGAGCAGAGGGTTACTCTGTCGGGGATCTATGAGTTCATCATGAAGAGGTTCCCGTACTATCGCTCCAACCAGCGAGCCTGGCAGAACTCCATCAGACACAACCTGTCACTCAACAGCTGCTTCATCAAGGTGCATCTGACCACACACACTCTCACTACCAAAACACTTACTCTCAGACACACACACACACACACTCTCACTACAGACACACTCACTCTCAGACACACACACACACACACACACTCTCTCACTACAGACACACACAATCTACACAGACACACAACTCTGATCACAGACCCACATTCTCTCGCACTACACACACAATTAGGGTTGTTGTTGCTAACATGTGTTTGTTTGTTTGCAGGTTCCTCGGACTGAGGGGAACGAAAAAGGCAAAGGAAACTTCTGGACTTTTGCCAGCGGCTGTGAGTCGATGCTTGACTTGTTTGAAAACGGGAACTTCCGGCGCCGGCGCCGCAGGAGGAACATGAAGCTGGGTTTGAGAGAGGGGGACACACCCTTCCCCCCTCTGGACACTCACCCCTCTGACTCCCCCCTCCGCCCCCTCAATCCAGACAGGCCGCTGCCCCCACACACCCACAGCTCCAGCCAGGGCAAGCCCGAGTCTGAGATCAAGTTCAGCATCGACTACATCCTGTCCACTCCAGACCCCCCACTGCCGGGCTTCAGGTGCCCCCAAGGGCCACTACACATAGCCCCGACAGGGGCCCCCTTACACGTCCTGGAGCCTCCACACCTCAACCTGCACTTCTGGACACTATGAGAGATGAGAGACCGGATTGAGCCAAGTCCTCAGACCAGAGCAAAACCAGAACTATTTAAAAACACTGATACAGAGATGCAGGTCCACAGGACCTCTGACCTCATGTGAATAATACTATCCAGTGCTGACCAGGGCTGACCAGTGCTGTCCAGGCCTGTTCAGTACTGACCAGTGCTGTTCAGTCATCCCGGAGCAGCTGCTGTTGTGTCTCGTGTGTTTGATGTTCAGAGTAGGTCCCTGTTTACTCCTAACTATAAAGACTTTTATTGAATATCAATCTGTCTCTGAATCATTTCTAATATTTACAAGAGCATAAACCAATACTTTGGTCGTGTGCCGCACACTTTGAACAGTGTCTCTGATAAATGTAGACCAATCATTATTTACATGTATGTAAATATATGCAATTATTATAAACACTATTTAAATTATACATAATTTATTGTGTAAAATTGACATCCTTTCCATCATTCTTTACAATATGAATCATTTTTAAGAAGAAAATGTACATTTAATGGTTGAACTACAAAATATAATGTGATATGTATGAATAACCAAATGTGGCGAGTACATCCATCATGAGAGCCAAGCCTCAGGTCGAACTCACAAACAGCTAATTTCTTCATTGACCTTTTGAAGAGCTGATTGATTGACACTTAAACTCTAATCCTACTGTTGTAACATAATAACATTTCCATACAGTTAAGAGGCCAAACAAACAGAGGTCTGCCTTCGCCTGTGCAAAGGAGATCAATCATAGCGTGTTGCCGTGCTGTTGAAGGGACATTTTTCAATTTCACCTTTATTTATGTGTTGACTACATCAGACTGGGGTTTCAACACACTTAACATGAGTGGCATTTAATATAGCATAACACTTGCAAGGTGAGGCCGAGATGTGACCCTATTTAAATACAGGCCTTTGCCTAAACCGGGCTCCCCCTCCCCCATAAACAACAGCTCTGCGCCCACAGCCCTAACACAATTATAATTAAACACACCTTATGCCTCTTTTGCAAATGGCCCACATCGATTCAGCTTTTTAACATTCATATGTGGACTGCCCCCAGCAAACAGCGACAGCGCACCGGCATTTATGGATCAGAGACTTTCCATTAACAAAGTTGTTGATGTTGAATAGTGCGCTGCTGCCGCCATGATGCAGTGGATATATTTGGGTAAATTAACTTAGCATAAAGTGCTTCAAGGCTACAGGGGGATTTTGAGGCAGCTAAAGAGAATGCAAGGCACCAGTCAGGCCCGAAAAGTCAATGCACAGATTGTAATGTCAATGGATCTGTGCGTAAACCGCAAGTGCAGATGTTTACGAGGGCAGCCAGCGTTTAGAAACAAACACTGATGTTCATTTGCTTTGTCTTAAGATTCTACTGTAATCAGTGACACAGCAGGAGGTTTGAAACCCTGATAAGCATTGATCATAAAGGTCAATGCAAAAACATCCTTCCAAAGTTCACAGGAGAAACGTGTTTAATTAACATAAAGGTTGTCAAATGGTTGTTGTGAAAATGATACAAGCTTTGGCTCTTGTTTATTGTTTGAATGTTTCCTTGAACCTGCTGCCAATGTCCAACCATACACACTGTATGCAAAAGTTGGGAGAGGCATCTGGCAGCAGATCCCCCCCTTGTAGACCTTCCTTTTCAGCCCCTGTCATGTGACCTCCTTCACGAGCCCCTGTAAAGTTACGTCCTTTACTGGACCGGACATACGGAAACCGCAGTCCATGGCAGAAACATTGCTACTACACGTGCGACAATCTGCGGCCACGGTAAGATACTTGTGCTGTCGTTTTAAATACATGTTTTGGGATTAAATTGCTGCAGATACATTGATTGATTAGTTATTGTCAGCTATACTTGTCTTTCTACGACAATATAACGCTTAGCTTTATACTTTATAACGCTGACTCAAAGCTACAATCCGGTGTATTAACAGATAAGTCAGTTCATTATGCTGTTCATTATTACCCACCATTCTCCCCGAATGAAAAACATACAAATATTAGCGTTAAATTTACTTCGTTTCCCCCCTTGTGTTGATGCATTGCTAACACGATTGTAAACCATTAATGCTTACAATTACAATTACAATTAACGCAGTTTAAACTCCGTAATCATAACGTTGCAACGCTTGTAATGCTTAACGTTCATATTGTGTCTTTGCAGATCCACAAATCAATTATAGTTCACTGCCCCATATGTCCTACAGTGAAGCCCCAGAAGTTGCATAAAATGCAGATACACTTGCAATAACATTTAAGGCAAGCAATTTTTTACAAAGGTAAGATTTTTAAATTTTTACAATAAATATAATCAATAATTGCTTGTACTGTATGTTCATAACATAATATAGCGGCTATCCATTTTACATTTGCAGTCCTCAGCCCTGACAGTTCACCTGCAGTCCTCAGCCTAACCCTTAGCTTTAGCTGAAATGCAATTTAGTAAGAAATGTATATTTAGTAAGTAAGTAGTAATCTTTATCTTTATTTATATCTTTATACACCATCTTTCACAGACCAGAGTCACAAAGCGGTTTACAATTATGGGCATTTGTCTCTCACTCCACACAGAGATGGGAGCGGGGTCGACAGAACAGGAGGCGCATGCCAGACCTAGTTTTAGTTGTAGGGAAAACTGGAGTACCCGGAGGAAACCTACGCAGACACGGGGATAACATGCAAACTCTACTCAGAAAGGCCTTGGTCCAACCGGGATTTGAACCAATCACACGATTATTGCTACAGGTGACATGTGAGGTCATTTCTGTTTGTCAGTTCTCAATGTTCATTGTACAGTCTGATAGCAGCAGGAAGGAAAGGAATTCTTTTTTAATTCCTGAACAAAATAAACAGGTGGTTATTACTGAACAGTAATTGTAATAATTAGCTTACCTTTTGCCATTCATTTGTTTGTACCCCAAAATGTGCCTTATTAGAATATAACATTGTGTATAGACATTTTGTATTTACTTTTGTTTCTACAGCAAGACAACTTTCTTTATTTTTTTGTGTAGGTCTATACGGTAGCTAACTTTTATTCCTCTAGAAATTAATAGAAACAATTAATATTGGGTACCTATGTAACTTTAATGCTGTTGAGAGAATAATATAGAAGAATGGAAAAAGCATCTAGAAGTTGCAGCTCTTTACTATAATAAAGCTTCGTCATGGCATCTCCTACCATATATTTTGTCTTCTCGACTTTTTTCATGGTCTATGCTACGGATGAACGTTTTGTCGGTGTGTTTAAAGTCCCAGGGAAGTGATGTAACAGGGGCTCATGGCGAAGCTCATGTGACAGGGGTTCGTGAAGGAGGTCAGGGGCTCATGAAGAAGGTCAGGGGCTCGAGAAGGAGGTCAGGGGCTCATGAAGGAGGTCAGGGGCTCGTGAAGGAGGTCAGGGGCTTGTGAAGAAGGTCAGGGGCTCGAGAAGGAGGTCAGGGGCTCATGAAGGAGGTCAGGGGCTCGTGAAGGAGGTCAGGGGCTCGTGAAGGAGGTCAGGGGCTCGTGAAGGAGGACAGGGGCTCGTGGAGGAGGTCATGTGACTAGAGATAAATCTAGAGATGTTCAATTATGTTTAGGAGATAGAAAGGCCACCTCTTCTTGCTGTTAAGGATCAGTGTCCATTTGTAGCCTTATTTTTCAACTGTTCTCTGTACCACTGGCTGCAACACAACGCCAAAGCCCCTATGCATGATGGATCCACCCCCAAGTCTAACAGTCAGGCAGACTTTCTTCTAGATATGCACCTTTGCTCATTCCACCCAAAAAGTTCTAATTTCTTCAGATGACTCTTACATGAAGACTCCAGTTTGTTCACACATTTCTTAATCTGTGTACCACAAATCCTGTTTTCTGACAGATCTAACTTTGACTGTTTTTCCCTGACTTAGACCCCCACTGTTCATGATCCTGCCTTCACTTCATCATATTCTGAACGGATCGGATTTGGTTTCTTTAGATGCTTCGAGAAGTGTTATGTAATGTGTTCATTAATCAAATACTGTAGAAACTCACCATAATACAGCTCCAGCATTAGGAGTCCAGTCTCCAGCTATGGGCCAATCACAGGGCAGCAGGAGGGTTTGGAGGAGGCCATACACAGACCTATGCAAATACAAAAAAAGACATATCATTGAGGAAAATGTCTGTGAACTCCAGCGATTTGTGAAAGGAAAAGACACCCTAGTTTTCTCTCAAAAAGTTTATCATATTTCTTATCCGCATGTTTCTCTTAAAAAATGATTTGAAATCTCTAAAAATATTAATATTTTAACAGATTTTTAAAACAGTGATTGTGATATAAGATAAGATAAACTTTATTGATCTCACAATGGAGAAATTTACATGTACATGTTACATTTGCTTATTGCTGTTGCTTATTATCATTATTGTTAGCTTTATAGAATGATCAATTTAATTTTTTATTTTTGCTGCTACTGGACACCTGAATTTCTCCTACGAGGATCAATAAAGTATCTATCTATCTCTCTAGATAGAATCACTCAGATTGTGCAAAAAGACAGAAAATATAGTCTGTGCAGGGTATACAGTAATTGTGTACAATAAAAAGCAATAACTAACAGTGCTGGTTCTTCAGTCCTGCTGCAGGTCCTTAGTGACTTAAAGTGACTTATTGTACAGTCTGACAGCGGTGGGGATGAAGGCCCTGAGGGGGCGCTCCTTCTTGCACTGAGGGTGTCTCAGTCTTCCATCATTTCACGTTTGTCCTCAAGTGGTTTACGTCAAATAACTAAGTTTTAATCTACAATAAATGGGAAACAGTTAGAACTATTCTATAGATCCAGCTGCAGCTGCTTACCTGCTGCATCTAGCAGCTCAAGGCAACAGAGAAATGGAAAACCTATTGAAGTGCAACGTTAATAAAGGGGGAAGAATAAACACAAAAAGGTAATTTAGTTTGCTGTAATGGGAATTAAGGTAAATAATACAGTGGTGTTTTAATAACAAGATGTAAT